CCTACATGCTAAAGAAAGAGGGCTATGTGTTTATGGACTGAGCTGATGTTGAAAAAAGGCATGGGGTACCTTATCTAAATAATAGTGTCTGTCACGTCTGAGTGACTTGAACATGCAGTGTAATCTACTGAATGGATGAAGGAACACATTGCAAAAATAAAACAATATATATATAAAAAAATAAAATAAAAGGTGCAAAAAGAAAGACACTTGCAGGCAACATACAATGCTGGACTATAAGCAGGTGGAAATGTGTGTGTATGTGTGTATGTGTGTGAGTGTGTGTGTGTTTATATATATATACATACACACACACACATGCATACATATATACACCACCAAGTTTCACAGATCCCTGCCTCTCAGGAAGGCCTATCAGAGGCAACTTGACATGATGCTTCCGCCTTTGAAATTTGAAGGTTGCAAAAAATAAATGAATAAGTAAGAAAAAGATAGCTTCCTTTTGACTTTTCTCCCCCCGCTTACCAATTTATCTCCAATCTCTTTCTGTTTTTTTTTTTTAAATTAATCTTCCAAATCTATAAAACAAAGCCCTTCTGTCTTGTCAAAGCAGGATAAACAGCTAAGTGCATTCCTGTGCAATCTGCATTGGAAAGGACACATCTGTCTTAAGCAGAACATGGAGAGACTTATGAGGAGCAAAATGCTGCAACTGCTTTTGTTACATAAAGGTCTGTTTGTTGTATGCAGACGTGTAACAGGAAATTAAGCAGTTCACCTTTTTGCAAATGTTTTGTATCTTATTTTGGCTCCAGCCAGATGGTGTTTTTTCTTTCCTCCTTTGATTAAGAAGAGGAAGAAAAGAGGAAGACAAAAAGCCAGAAGTAAATTCTGAATCTAAAAGATAGTGAGGCATGCCATACTTTGAATTTAGTGAAAATGCAAAAATGTATGCACCTGCACACACAAGCACGAATGTACACACACACTGTGTGATAGGGAGGTCTGATACATTTTAATGAAGTTGTTCGCCTGCAAAGAGCTTTAGAACTGTTGTGTCAATATTAACCTTCTGGTGGAATCCTACACAGCTTTCCCTCCAGAGAATGATAAAATGCTGCAATCTCCAGGGGAAATCGGTAGGAGAATTTACAATAACATTTAGCTAAAATCGCCTGAAATGAAAGTTTGGTATGAGTTTTTAACCCAGAAAGTGAAAATCTAAATGCATCATCAAACCATGCTTTCTTCGAGGCAGAAAGACCACTCAAAGTGTTATCAAAGGGTACATTGTCACAAGCAAGATTGGGGAATTTGAAAAAAGCATGTGATTTTCAAAGCCTCAGGAGATGTTTTAGGGGTATACTATTAATTCATTTTCATCAAAACCCAAAGTTAATTTTGTATTCAGGCTTGGAAAGTACAGGAAAAATATGTAGAGGGGTGCTATTCCCCTATGCTTTCTAATGTTCAGTTTGATGTTTGGCTACACTGACGTGACCTACTAGATAAATTTTTTGCAAGATGTTCTATGTGGGATTTAGGGATTGGTGACTATTACTTATAAGCCTCAAAAAAGATATTAAAAACTTGAAATGAAAGGGCATTTTATCACACCCTGCTCCCTCAAGAAAAACTCAGATTAAAAACAGAGAAATCCCCAACAATGTTAAGAAAAAGACTTCCCAGCTGGAAGACTCTTCTTTAGAGGAAGAATGAGAACATCCTGATAACAGGAAACAAGCTACTCCTAGAGATGTGGATGGTGCCTATTATGGGGCTCCTAATATCTTAGGAAAAATGATGGTTTGAGAATGCAAAGGGTTGCCGTATGAGTCTGAAAGGGAAACTAAACCAATGCTTCTCTAAGATGGCAAAAATTGTGAATAAACTTACGTGATAGCCAGCCAGATAGCTTTAAAAAAAAAAGCCAAAGGAAGAACTCCAGGTGAGTAAAAGTCTTCTGATATTTAAAGAAACGGCCATCCCAGCAGAACCTCAAATAGCAAGGAGCTGAGTATTCAGCTTTAAAAGACCTCCATTTCATAAGAGAGACTTTGCTTACCAAATTGCCTCTGTACTAGTATTGGTGTGCTTTTGGCCATGGATTTGGTCTGGATCTTACTTTTAATAATCCCTACATGTAGATTAATTTCAAACTGGCCTCTTATTTTGTGATCTACTCTGACTTAATTCATAATCTCCAAATATCCAATTATGTCTGAGGTTAGTATGGCTCTGTTCGACACAATGACAAAAATACGTTTCTACTTCAGGTCAGGACTGAAGATGTCCTTGCTTTATAGTTTTGATGGAGATCACAGTCTCCAGTCAGTGCTTAAAGCAGCTGCTCCCGGCTCACAATGGAAAGATAATATTATACAATCAGAATTTCATTTCTCCTCATCCTTCAGTATATATCTGTTTCGTAAGAAGGGGGCTAAACTGCTGTGATTGTGAGCTCACTTACTGTAAAGAGAACATCTTTTGTCCCTGATCCCAAATTAGGTGAGTTTCTCTGGTGTCCTTTGGAAAATTTCAAATGTTAGCACCCAATCCTTTACCCCCAACCAATTATTTCCTTGTCTAAACTGTGTCTGCACCAGATAGAGAGCACCACAATTGGGCATAAACTGCCTATTATTTCTATTATCATATTTTACACACTGTTATCAGTCACCCTTCTTGTTGCTTTTTCCATAAGCCCCATGTATTAAGTTTCCCTAATCTCCCTCTGCAGGTCGTGGCCTCCAATCCTTTAATCATCTTTGTTGCCCTCCACTGGATTCTCTTTAATTTATCAATGTCTTTGCTTTAATGAAAGACCTAGAGAAACAAAAGAGAAAGGAATGTGCAGCTTGTTCTAGAATTATGCGTGTTTCTGGGGCAGGGAGAATAGGGGAGGGAGGGGATGTCGAAGGCATGTGGTGGGATGAAGAAAGAACATTTGCGTGACTGGAGTGAAATGTGGGTAAATGAGGGCACTGCAAATGTGGATGGAACAGTGAAGAAAAAGAGAAATAACTGTATGACTTTTCTAGGAAATTAAGGCTGCTTCTATCATTATGCTTTTTTTTTTTTTTAAGGAATGCTTCTTAGAGCTCAATTATGTATCTTCACTCATGTTCAAAAGCATCCTCCCCCCTTATTTATTTATTTATTGGTTGAGACACTCATGCCAGATCCTTACTAGACCTTCCATTGCAACAGTCATGAAAGGCTTCTGCAGTTTGCAGGTGTGCTAAAGACATAATCTCAGGCATAATTTATGCAGTCTATGATGTGCTTATGTGGCAATCTTAACCTAAAGTGTGAGTTCATCTAGAGGTTCCATTTCAACTGATGAACACTTCCTTTGGCTCATGAATATCTTACTGACTGCAGTGATGTCCAATGTTTTTTGCTCATTAACAAGTCTTCCCCCAAGTCTTGTGAGTAAAATATTTTTGGCCTGCTCTATCCTCAGTACTAATTTCTGAGCCACCAGATTCCCAAAACCTAGATGTGTTTTAGAGCATCATGCAAAAATAATGGCTTCAATGTGCTTTACTTGTCCATTGTTTACCTCATTATGGAGATAATCTACAACTAAAGAGCAGTTTAAACACAGAGCAAAATTAAATGGCAATACTTTACATGGTTGAACTTTTAGTTTACAGATATGGGGAAAACAAAAAGGAAATACAAATGTGGAATGAATTCTCAATGAAAAATGGCTCCTGATGTTCGAGGGAGGGGCTTTAATGGGTTTCACCTGGTGTTGAATAGTGGCAACAGAAGAGGAGGAGGAGGAGAGGGAGAAGAGGAAAAAGCAGCAACTAATAGTTCAACTGTCCTTCAAATTTTAAGTCATCAAGTGCTGCTCAACTAATTAGCAGCTCTGGATCCATGTTGCCTCGGAAGCCCATCAAACTAGGGTCTTTTGCTTCTTAGCTTGGTTTCTTAGATACTTTCTGTATTTTGAAGCATAGCTTGATCTGCTCTGCTTTATTACTGCTGTAGATATAATCAAGCTTATTTATACTGAATCACATTTGTGGACTCTGCCCCTTGCTGGGCTCAGCCAGCTTTATTCAGATGCATCTGCTAATAATTGGCAGAAGTATGCCATCACCTCATTAACAATGGTGATGTTTTCTTTCCTCGGAATCATTTGAGCACAGTAACACCCTGTTCTGCCCCCAAATGTCCCAGAATCACATGGCATCTAGGCACTGTGAGGACTGAGCAGACACCAAACGCACGCCATCTCATCTCAAAACTTGCCAAAATGTCCTTTCTCATTTGCTGCTCACGAATGAACAAGCATTTTTGTTCAGACCTACTATGTTCCAGTGCTGCTCAATTAAAATGTCCATGAACATAGGGAGAACAACAGCATACCAAAGAGTTGGTTTTTCCGAACCTTTCTGCCTGACATATTACTTTCTACATTCAAGGAGGCTCTTATTCTGCTCTTATGGGCAAGACATAGATATGCTGGAGTCCCTTGTGGAAGATTTTGATAAGCTCCTTCAGATGCAATAATAGGGAAAAATCCATATTTAATCTTCAATGTGTTTAAATCTACAATGTAAAAACTATAGTAGGAACCCCAGGGTTTTTGTGGGATCTCTATTCTCAGAATGGTCCAGTCACTGAACTGGTAACTAATATCCAGTACTTAATATTTAATTATTTTAGAAGAATTGGAACATCTCAGTGTCTCATTTTTCTTTTCTAGACTGGACCATCTAGGCCAGCACGTAGGTTTTTAACAATGGACATTTCTCCTACTTCTGTATTTTTATGCATAATGCCTGAAGGTATCATCCTTCCTCTGCTGTTTGGACCTAGGAGATGAAATTCCAAGGTATACTACATCAGAATATGGGCATTCCACTGAACTCCTATGGCTGATTAGTATGGACAGAACCATCTTTCATACAAATTGCATGGATACTGAGTGAGTCATGATGGACAAAGCTATAACTCAATTCCTTTTCTCCAACCTCTGTTTATGCCACCCTCTCCACCTGATTGCCTCAAGTTCACCTTACCCTGTAATAATCAGTGCTGTAGACATCTCTTGACATCCCAAAGTCTCCAATCTTCACCAATAGATTAGCTCCAACCAAGCAGTTCCTCGTAGCCAGGTCTCTGTGTACAAAGTGCTGGGAGGCAAGATAAACCATTCCCGAGGCAATTTGGCTGGCAATATGCAGCATTTGAGAAAGTCCCAATTCCCCTTTGACTTGCCGGGGCTGCCCATCCACAAGGATCATTGCATCTGGTCCATGTGCCCTGTAGAAGACAAGACAGAGTCAAGTCCCACAGGGCAAATTACAGAACAATCAACAGCATTTCTTTTCAAACTCTGCTCCAGATTTGTTGGAAGCATCCAGGACATTCCCTAATAAGATGCATCAGCTTCTTTCCCTGTGAAACACAACTAGGCTGCTTGTATCCTAAAACACTTCAGTTAAGATTCAAATAACCTGGCAAACTATAACCCCCATTGTTTGTTTGTTTGCTTGCTTTAAAGCAATCTTCCCCAACCTGCAGTAGATAATTCCTGGTGGCCTCCATTAGTAGCCTGGATCAGTACAGGTGAGACATCCCTGGCCTCAGGCTGCCAATCTGTGGCCTTGTGATGTATCAAGACCAAGAATCTTCCATCTAAAGTGGCTTTCATTGGGAAGGAGGGCGAAAGGAAGATGAGAAAACGTACATCCAAACAGTGCCTCAAATGCTTTTTGAGAAATATTGGTTAATATTTGATTGGGATATAATCTGAAGCTTGCAATGTAGTCTCATAGTTTAAGCAAATATGGGTATTTGGGGAAAACATGCATGCAGTATAAATGGAAGGATCTCTCAGGGAGAAACAACTTTTCCTGAGCTTTTTTCTAAAAAAACAAATCCTGAGAAATAATAACTGAATTCCAAACTAAGCTTATTTTGCAAGACAAGGTAGAAAGAGAAGGTATCCACCAAAATTTTAGAATGACGGATAGCCAGAATGATGAAAATAAAGTCACGGCTCCGTAGCATAATTTGTCTTTGCTGCCAAAATTGTATTAAGAAACTGATTATGTTCACAACAATATTAGTGAATACTGTCCTATTTTCATGATCCCTTCAAAATGCAGGCGGTAATCACCAAAATGTCTTACAACTGTATGAAGTCCATGAATCAATTGCATGTTGCATGAAGAAGCCATTTGCTTTTGTTCCTCATGAATTGGACCCTGAACCATAACATGTGAAGGCGGCCTTCCATTCGTGCACTGGAATTACACCTTTGCCATTTGATCAACTGGTGGGCTTATCAACCATAGCAGCAGCCAGCCAGCTTGAAGTAGTACTCTAGAGGTCATTAATATGTGGTGAAAGAACAGTGTGGCTGTGATTTTCTGCTACCATGGAGCAAATTCTCTTTTGTGGCTCATTTCTTTTTTCTTTAAAACAGCTGCCGGCATTTTACCTTTGTCAACAGCAACAGCCTAGCCAGCAAATTGAAAATTTCAGGATCAGACGGCTAGCTCTTTCTCTTCTTCTGAGACCTAAGCTCCTACTGGCTTTCATAGCGTCTTGATTTCACCTTCCCATGTTGATGGCATATGATATGAATGATATGATATATGATTAGGTTTGTGTGCCATTGAATCTGTCTAACCCTCCCAATGGCTAACAATAAAATCATACCATACAAATAAATTAAAATGCCCAAGGTAAAAATCAATATAAAACAGCAGGGAGCAAGGGTCAACAAGCAAACTTCCTTTTTTCAAGTATTTGGAAGCTGCAGCTGGTGCAGAAAGTGGCAGTGCGGGCAGTTATGGGTGGCCTTAGAACTGTGCATATAACACCTCTGCTGTATGACCTGCATTGGGTGCCGGTTTGCTTCCAAGTCCAATTCAAGGTGTTGGTTATCACCTTTAAAGCCCTTCATGGCATGGGCCCGGGTTACCTGAGGAACCACCTCGTCCCAATTACATCAACCCATCCGACCTGGTCCAGCAGGAAGGGCATGCTATGGACCCTGTTGGCTGAAGAATTTTGACTGGCAGGGTCTAGGAGGACAACCTTTTCAGCTGCCCTCTGGAACATCTTGCCCTGAGGTGAGATTAGCCCACTCTCTATGGCCCTTCTGAAAGGGTGTTAAGACCTGGCTCTGCCAACTTGCATGGGGACCCACTGAGTCACTTATATAGTGAGATAGATGACGTATAAATTAAACAAACAAACAAACACCTTCACAGCTGGGGATATCCCCTTAGTCTCCAAATGCCCTCTGGAGGAGCTTCATGTTAGACAGCTTCTGGAAGGCAACCACAGAAGTGGCTAGTCTACCTTCCAGGGGGTGGTATAGGAGTTATAGGGAGAACAATATTGGACTTCTGGTCAAATATTGACCAGTTCTGCTTTTACACAGCTCCTCCTTAAAAAGGTATAACATGGGGCTATGTTAAGCCAACATGCTCACCAGTGACTAGTCTCTGAGCTATGTGCAAGTCTCTCTCCCTGAGTAGTGACTCAGAGACTGCATAACTGCAATTCAGCAGCATGCTGGCTAGAGAATTCTGAGAGTTGAAGTTCATATGTGTGAAGATTGTCCAAGTTGGGAAAAGGTATGTTATGGATGGGCTTCCTTTCTCCCACTGTTTCTGCCCATCCAATAAGACCTGACAAGCAGTCATGCTCCAGGTCCTATTCCTAAAATAGCATCTTCTGACGGAACCCAGGTAGTATGCCTTCTCTGTTGCTTTCCATTTGGAATAGTATCTCCCCAGATGTTCAAGTTATCCCAACCCAACCATCCTTTAAATGAGCCTTGAAGAGCTGGCTCTTTCCCCAGGTGACAGGCTAAGACATTTGTGCTTTGGTGGGAATTCTATTAATGTGTTGGCTGTGTTAGTCTGTAGACTATCACCTTCCTTTTGCTTTTATTGTGCTGACTGTGCTGTTAACTAGTACTCGGACCAGAACTGTTATGAGTTGGGTGGCTTATCCCTTTGTTTTATAAATAAACAAAAATATTATAAGGAGAATCCCATATTTGAGAAGCCATGTGTTAAAGGTGCTTGAGAACAAGGAAGTATGAAGACCCCATCCCTTATGAATTCTGATATCAACGAGTCTATTTCCAATTCCCCAGATTAATATCTAGACCTGAATTTACTTAGCTACTGGGGTTTTTGTTTGGTTTTCTTTTGTCTTGTTTTGGTACTTCCAAATGTTCTGATGTCATTTTGGGCTCAAAACACTTATCCCAATACATTAAGAAAAATTGAGTTCTGAGAGGAACGCTTGGAAATGAATATATTAAATGTATGTGTTTATATGCATTTTTAAAAAATCTTAGAAATGGGGTAGGACAAATATGTGAATGTAAAACTGACATGAATGCTAGTTTGAGTATTTATTCTATGTTAGGGTGACCATAGGAAACTGGGAAACTCTGTTGTAATGAGTAGCTTCTTTTCTTGTTGAAAATAAATCTGAGAACAACTCTGGAATATATTGGAATTATGTTACCACATATCTGTATAACCGTTACTTATACTTTACATATAACAGTGTTGTCCAAACTTGGCCACTTTAAGACGAATGGACTTTTACCCCCCCCAAAAAACCCCCCCCCCACGCGACCCCCGCACCGCAGGGGGGCTCACGTCGAGGACGGCCCCGCGTGCGTCGGCG